TTTTTTTTTTTTTTCAATCACTTGCAGATGAATATTTTTTGAATCAGTGTTAATATTATGCATGGGCAAGGTTTTGTCAAGGGCTGCTATGAATGCATTTTTTTTTACTGCAGAGCATTAGATTATTTCTATACTTTAACATGTGTGTCAAAAGAAGAAGAGGTCCTGTAATTATCAATTACTGTTGTTGATACCAGCATACAAAATGATTCCACACTGGTTTCAGTACACTGTTCTGCAGTAATTCACAATAGCATTTATTTTTTACCTTTTATTCAGAGGTTATGACAGTGGCTGGAATCATAGTAGTATAGTGAAGGCCATAGAGGAAACTTTTCACTGGATATATCTTAAAAACCTTTTTGTTGCTCTTTATGATTTATGTTGATTTTCCATTTGAGAAGCATATTCTGGAGAAAACTTGATTAAGATGGGCAGTGTTTATTGTATTGTGTGTGGCATATTTATATAGAATAGAATGGATTTCTCTTCATAGGAACATGTCATGCTTTGGTTTATTATTCTGTTCTTTGGTCACACCAAAGCAATATCTTCATTTTTAGATGCATGTTCAAATAACATTGTCAGATATTTACAATTCTTTCTTTGATTAAAGGTTTTTGCTTTCATAGTGCATGTTGTGAATATAATCTACAAAAGATATATTAAAATCTCTGGAAGGCATGCTCTAGACTTCAGTTTTATGTAACTGATGTAGATATTAGAAAATCAGTGCTTTTGTGGGTTGTACATGTTAACTCAAAATCACTTTTAAATGAAAATTTAACATAGTAATGAAAGAAATGTGAAAGGGAAATACATTGCAAACAAAAAATTCATGGTAGTTGTGTATTCTATCTTTTATGTTTTCAAAACATATTTAGTATTTTATAATGGAGCTATTCCAGACTACTATTATTTGTTGCTTCTGTCTCTGGATGTTACTCTATCTCTCTCTCCTCTCTCTCACTCTCTCTCTCTCTCTCTCTCTCTCTCTCTCTCTCTTCTCTCTCTCTCTCTCTCTCTCTCTCTCTCTCTCTCTCTCTCTCTCTCTCTCCTCTCTCTCTCTCTCTCTCTCTCTCTCTCTCTCTCTCTCTCTCTCTCTCTCTCTCTCTCTCTCTCTCTCTCTCTCTCTCTCTCTGTCTCTCTTTCTCTCTGTCTTCTGTCTCTGTCTGTCTCTCTCTGTCTCTGTCTCTGTTCTCTCTCTCTCTCTCTCTCTCTCTCTCTCTCTCTCTCTTCTCTCTCTCTCTCTCTCTCTCTCTCTCTCTCTCTCTCTCTCTCTCTCTCTCTCTCTTCTCTCTCTCTCTTCTCTCTCTCTTCTCTCTCTCTCTCTCTCTCTTCTCTCTCTCTCTCTCTCTCTCTCTGTCTCTCTCTCTCTCTCTGTCTCTCTCTCTTCTCTTCTCTCTCTGTCTCTTCTCTCTCTGTCTCTCTCTCTCTCTCTCTCTCTCTCTCTCTCTCTCTCTCTCTCTCTCTCTCTCTCTCTCTGTCTCTCTGTCTCTCTGTCTCTGTCTCTCTCTGTCTCTCTCTGTCTCTCTCTCTCTCTCTCTCTCTCTCTCTCTCTCTCTCTCTCTCTCTCTCTCTCTCTCTCTCTCTCTCTCTCTCTCTCTCTCTCTCTCTCTCTCTGTAAACATGGTAATTCATATGATATTCCATTAATATACTCTTATTATAGTACTGTGGAATCCTTGTTTAAAACAAACCTCTTAATAAAGTTGGCTGTTTCTCTCTCTAATCTTCTGGAGTATGGTATTTTGACTGATGGGACTGGGGTCTTTTCATTCTGTTTCTCACACTGTAGTTCCTCTTTTGTGTATTCTCAGGTGAGGGTCTGAACAGCATGCGACGCTCCAAGAGCCGAGCTGAGGGTCTTTCCTCGCTCTCCGACCGCTCAAAATCTGCCACTTCTCGAATTAGGAAATAAGCTGTAAGACTCAAGTCCTGGTAGAGTTATCTCTGGTAAAACAAAATAAAAAAGGCTGCTATATACAGGGTGCATTGCAAGCAAGTTGTGTGCCAACTGGAACATAAAGAGTTAGCAAATTTTATTTAACCCAGTTACTTAAGGTTATTGTTCTCACCTTTACATTGATTTTATTAACAAAAAAAGAGAAAATAAACATAGAACAATGTAATAAGAAGCTGGCAATTGCACAACTATTGTGAGCAGCACAGCCCCAAACTTCCATCAAGTGTTACCCTGAGAACACGTCCCTGTTATCCCTCCATTGTGAGATCCTCTTGTATGGTAGCAATAGATAGATTGTACTTAACCTGCTTCAGGATTTGAGCACTTCCGTCGATATTAAATTACTATTTTTTGATTTTTAATAATTTTATTGTGAAATACATATGACTCAAGATTTATGAGTTTTGTTCAGATTTTATGCTTGTAAGATTGACTAGTACTTGAAAGGAAGTCTGAAATGAAAGTATGTTATTATTTTACCACATTATAGATTACTTTTTATTGAAATTATATACTTTTAATAATAAATCTGACTTTCCATCGTCCAGAATGTATAGAATTAATACCATTTCATACATCATAGACATATTTATGGCCAATTTGTGTACAGTGTAACAAGACAAGTATGAAGTAAATCATAAATGTTTTTACTCACCACAAGATTTGTGGAATACTGTGTTGGCTTTCTGTGCTTCGAACTGCTGGAATATAGATGTAGATGCTTTGGTGGACAAATGAAGGACTTGATTGTTATAAGAAAATGTATCAGTACTAAAGATCAAAAGGTTAAAAAAAAGAGACCTATGAGAGATGTGTCTTTATTTTGAAAGTTATGATTTTGTCAAGTTCTTCATATTATTTGACACCATGTGTATGTTTCCATGATGATTTGTAATGTTCAACTGTATATAAAAGGATGTAATACATTTAAGTCATTTTGTTGCCATATCTTTAGTTGTACAGTAACAATTATTTTATTTTGATCTGTAGTTGATCATTTTATTTATGGTAAATCTTAAGATATACATAAGAAATGTGTACATGTATATACAATATATATGTCATATATATTATATCCATATATGTATATACGTATATATAAATATATATATGTATATGTGTTACTGTACATGTGTATGTGTATATGTATGTATGGATGTATGTATGCAAAAGATATAGAGAGTGTGTGTGAGTGTGCTTGTGTGTGTGTATCTGTGTGTGATTAGATATATGAAATGTGTGTGAATTGATGCGAGTGTAAAAGTATGTAAGTCTGTCTATTTACATATGCTGTCATATGTGTTCCTATTACCAGCATCCTTATTCTTATTTGCATATACACAAGCATACATGTACTTATACATGCAAGTGCGTACACAAACACTTAATCACACACACACCATATTCATGAGCAAACACACATACAACTTGTACCCATACACGCACACACAAACACATAGGCATACATTAGATTTATATTGTAAATATTTACATATGGTATTCAGAATTCACTGTATATTTGCAGACACATCTTCACTGACTGAGATACGCTTGCTTATACGTTCATTAATGCACTCCTCTTATTTGTGTGTTTGAACATGGATGGTTGTGCTTTTTTTTGCATATATGTATGTATATATGGAAGCAAGTATGTACGTATGTTATTATGTGCTTGTGTGTGCATGAATAAATATTCAGATATGTGTATGTATAAAGTGTATGTATGTGTGTGTGTGTGTGTGTGTGTGTGTGTGTGTGTGTGTGTGTGTGTGTGTGTGTGTGTGTGTGTATATATATATATATATATATATATATATTAATATATATATATATTAATTATATGTGTATATATAATTATATAATATATATATGTATAATATATGTATATGAATATATATGCATATGTATAATAATAATATTTGTATATGCATAATATATATATATATATATATATATATATATATATATATATATATATATATATATATATATATATATATACATATATATCATACATACATATATATTTACATGCACATGCACTCACAAGCACACACACACACACACACACACACACACACACACACACACACACACACACACACACACTCACACCACACACTTCACAGACACTCGCGCACACGCACACACACACACACACACACACACACACACACACACACACACACACACACACACACACACACACACACACACACACACACACACACACACACACACACACTTATATTTTCTGTTCCTGAAAGACAAGAACATGTGTAAAACGTGGGAATAATGTATACTGAATTATTATTTTCAAGGTTTCAAGGTGTAAGGAAAGCTTTTTTCTTTAGTAATGCAGAATTTTATGGCCTAATATTTTTTCAATGTTTGTGTCAAGTTTGCAGCATTTACCTAATAAACATAATCAATTTTTTTTTTTTTTTTCTTCTTTTTTTTTTTCTTTATAGATTAGACCCGTTGATCTCCTGTGACACGTAGTGGTCCATTTTTATTATCTTAGCTCTTTTGGAAAGCTTGAAAAATGTCATAGATGACATTGTTAATAGAAATTCAAAAGATTATATACAAGCCAAAAAATGCAAAGCTTTCACACTCAACCTTGGCATTCTTACATGTTTGCTCTTTCCCACCTTTTCCTCCCTTTTCCTCATGCTTTCCATTTTCATGTCACCCATAGACCTGCCTTCCATCTTCATCCATACAGGCGTACCCTCTCTTTTCCCTCTCCTCAAATATCCATTCGAGTTTCTCTTCCCTCTTTTTTCCTCTCTGCGTAAGAACACTCCCACACACCTGTACTCATTGTTATACTTGGATTTTTGAGTCAAATGAATTGCAGTAAATAATATTTTGTGTGTGTTTAGATGAATAGGTTTTAAAAGAAGAATCCAGATAATAATTCAATAGATACGATATGTGCAGCTTGAGAATGAGTGTTTTACTGTGATTCATAGATATAATTTTCTTCTGTTAAAGATTTAGAAATGCATGAATGTAAACTGCATATACCTGTAAGCATACTTATTTCTTAAGTACAACATACCTGAGTTTATCTAGTTCAGAAAGGATGTAATGTTTACTTATTTTAGAACCTAAATAAATTGACAGCAAAATATACAAAATTCATAGTTTTAACTCATGAGGGTAAAATGAACTGCTAGTCTTTTGTGTGGGATTGCAAAGTAGAGACGTCCATCTATTAGAGTATCCTCTGTCTCTCCCATTTGCTGCAATGTTTACCACTGATATGGATAGATTCACTCATTTTTTTTTTTTTTTTTTACTGCATTGTACATTTCTTGATTAAATAGAAAATTCCATTGATATGATTTAAAGATGGGTGAATTATCCTTATTGGTCCTATGTACTGATAAGCAATCCTTTTATTGCTAGTAGTGTATAGTTCATTGGCTGATAATGCATGTATACAATAGTAGCAATACTGTACACATCTGTTGTCATATATTTATATGAAATGACTACTGTTAATTGTACTCTGCAGTTGTTATTGTAAGTCATACATTATAACAGACAATGTTACATATACTCTGCTAATGCTTGTATCATGAATTATATGTTTTCAGCTGTAGTGTACTTAAGTCACTTTGTGGTATGCACTATAAGATTAACCTGATAGCTATATGTTAAGTAGTATGTACAGGACAGTGTCCCAATTGTACTGTTCATACTTTTCTTATCCATAGTGAATGGTATGCTACAGTTGTTTACATTGTTATGGTACTCTTCCCTAGTTCTCCAAGTGTAGATTGTGTTAGTGTTGTACACTCTTATTTAAACTTTCTTTGCTCATGTTTTGGTTGATGTACGCAACTGATATAGGCCTAATCATGGGTGTTATGTAATTTACAAGTGAAGATACCTTCAGCCATATTTCAAAGGTTTACAGTGTCCTGCTACTGTCAGAGCCATTTCACTATTTATGTAATTTAATAGTGATATCAGGCAATGCAAGCTGATTGTGAAAATATTGTAATTTGCATTGCAGTGGTGGACAAAGTAATAAATATAGAGTTATTGAATTCATATTTCTTTAATTTGTCAGTACATGTATATAACTAACCATAGGAGATAAGCATTATATATGTGGGAGAGATTTCCATTAAGAGTATATGTTACTGTGATAATTTATGAAAGTATCAGGAGTGGAATTTGTGCAAAGACTAAAATACATTCCTGTTATGTCCTGAAACTAAAGATCATACTGGCTTTGTTGATTGAGAATAGCAATATTATAAACAATTCATCTTTAGTAGCAGTCCATTTTCGTTACAATAATTCCATTGCCTCCACTAGCCAATAAGGATATTTGCTGAAATGTATTCAAGCCCAAATACTGATAACTCTTATTGGACTGAAGGCAAAGACAACTAAACTAGAGTAACTCTTAATCCTCAATATTAAACATATAGCCATTAACGCAGAGTGTTGTATTGATTTGGAATCTGACGGTGATGACTTATTGTCTTGGTTGGATTCATGGTCATGTTGTGACTCCAAAACAGTGCACCCGTTTAGGGGAATCCTTTACCAAGTACAGATATAAAGTAAGAAGTAGATCCTTATGCGTGATGGATCTTCAGGAACATTCCTAACATGGAATATAATGGGCTTTACTGCCCTTGTTAAGTGTAATAAATGGTGGAACCCTTCCAGTATTTGTTTCTCTTTATCCTTGCATCTTTTCACGGCTGTTGTCTTCAAACACCGCATATCTGACCTCTAATTGCTTGACATAACTCCATGTTTACTCCAGACTCCCTTCTTATTTACATCCATTAGTTATGTTAGTATTGAATGTCATTGTCAGTCTTTGAATGCATGGCTGAACCTTCTGTTTTTCCTCTTCTTATATTGTGCTACATGGCCTTTGATGTCTAGCACATTTATTTGTTTCAAACATTATTTACATATTCACAAGCCTTGATAAAATGTCAGTCATTAAGGAAGTTAGTTACTATTAAACTATGGGCGAGTGAAAAAGGAAAGTATGAAGTGAAAATGATTCCTGAGCCCAAGAGAGTTGGAATGTCAGAGTGAAGACACTGTAGACCCATGAATTTAGAAAAGGAAGTGCAAGTGAAGACTATCCAGAGTTATTTCTTTTATTAAATATATAACAAATGTATTGGTTGAATAAGTTTGTCAACCAACATATCTGGAAAGTAAAAAATCTCACAAAAATATCTTTATAAAATGAATAAGTGAAAGGAGATTTCGCATACGTGATTAAAAATATGTATTTGCATCCCTGGTAGAGTATGTGCATTCATGTATCCTAATAATTTGTGTTCATTAAACATGGTTTGCAAAGGTTTAGTCTAAAAATCCAAATAGACCTACGAGTGCTTTCAGATACTGTGGTAGAGATAATACCAGTGTTCTAATGACATCTGGAAATTTGCTTTAGTGGTCATAAGTTTTAGAGTGAAATAGCATTTTTTTCTTAAACTTTACTGTCAAGCATCTTGGTACAGTATTTAAAACAGGCTCACACAAGTCATAAATCAAGGTGTTCTCCCTCAGTGACAAAATATATGTTGTCATTAAAGATTGTGGTATAAAACCAGTTACCCTGGCAATATTTATCCTTATTTGAATCGGAAAGAGCAAAGAGATTTTCCTCATTTGCTGTGATAATGATGACTGTGATAACTTTGGTTGCTGATTTAGCAAATAATTTTTAATAATTACACAATTACTAGCACTGAGAACTCACTTGTGTTAACTACAGCATAAGGAAATTACATTTCAAAGATGTAATAAACAGATAAGAGAATGATGAGTTGCTTGATGAATTGACCACATCCCTCTAACCTACCTCTATGCCCTACATGCAATGTCTTTCTCTCTGTCCCACATATCCTAATATCCTGTCCTCGCTTTACCGAAGCCCGTACCCTTACTTTTCCTCACATATCCCTTCTTCCCCGACCCCCCAACCTGTCAGACATCCTTACAGAATCCCCCACCTTTTTATTGATAATTTATTCTCCTTCCTCAGATGCATAAATATCCTTCATTTGATCTAATCATCCATCGTCCTTAACCCTTCCTCTTCTCATCAATACCTATCCTAACCCCATCTACCCTCTCCTCCTACTCCTTTAAATACTATACTAGCATACAATAAATGAACATCGAAACTTCACACTTTAATTGAAATAAAGAATTTTAAAAACCCTCCCTACACAATACAATACCATAGTGCTATATGACCTTTGATGTCTAGCACATTTATTTTCTTGTCATTATTGCTTACTTACTTACTTACTTGACGAATTGACTGTTTTATCATGCATCTTCTAGTTAAGGCCGCTGGCAGAAAGAAAATGAAACAAATCAATTTAAAGCAACCAAAGTAAGATTACTGTTATCTTGTGTACAGTTTTAAGAATAATGACAGACTAACTGCTCGACTGTTTGAGCATATCCTTTGATTATTGTCCTCTCAACAGCTGAGTAGATATTGTTAATATCAAGGAACATATAACCAGGTAGATCCACTTCCATTTAGCCTGTTGAAACCAAAAATGAAACTTTTTTTTCCCAAAGAGTATTCTGATGACAGTTAATGGTATGGAACCTTTCAATATCATTAATAAAGAGGGGAGTTTTGATTTTACTTATGGTAATTATAACAATATCAAGTAAATTCTTTTTTTTTATCTACCTATATCTGATATCTCACAGGCCATTCTCATTGGTTAAGATGACATCATTATTTCTGTCCCTTTTTTAATGGCCATCGTATTTTCTGAGGATTTTTATTGAAAGGGATTTAGTAATAACAATGGTAAAAAAAATGAAAAAGAAACCAAGAGAAAAGAAAAGAAAAAAAAAAAAAACATTCCATATTTGTAATGAACAAAGGGGATGAGCGGGGCTTATATCGAAAGTAAGCAACAAGGATTTTCGTTAAAATGGAGTGGGTCTACCTGTGCAAAGATAACTTGGTTGCTACCCTACATGCCCAAGCAAAGATAAGCTACAAAGACAACTGACACGAATTATATTATTATAAAATCATAGGCTTACTTACTTTTCTGGTTATAATTCCGAATGTTACTGAACCAAGGAATTTTGAGACTTTTTTTTACAGCATTTGTATTAAAATTTATTGTCGCACAAACAAGGTATCTAATATTCATTTCAAGCAATCTTCTCAGCAATTTCGAAGGACTGATTCAGCATAGAAGAGCAACACTTGTAAAATGGCGGAAAAGCCTATCGCAGTATTCCTCTGCCATCTGTGAAGTGACAGATGCTGTGTTGTAAATGAGAACGTGGATAAAGCGACCGCGGAAGGTGTGGCAAAGATGTGTCCAAGGGCAAGGTATACCGTCAACGTTCACAGACCTTAGGACATGTAGCGCCTGCACATGCTCGCCACCTTCCGTCACCAATTTTGTCACGTCTCCCATGTTGGTTACAGCGAACTCGCATGAAAAAATGGTTTCGAAACTAGGTCTTTCCGGCATGAAGTATTTTGCTGCCTCATCTTGTAGCGCTGTCCCGGCTTCTATTTTCCGCTTCATATCCGCATGCAACAACCGGGCGTAGTCCCAGAATTTCCCACCAGTTTCGCGGGGCGTTGGGACAATCACTGCCAGTTGAGGCAGAATGTGGCACCCGAGATAATCGGACGCGTCGCCTTCCCAGTACCGGCGAGCATTCAAGATGTGGTCCCCGCGAATGCTGTACGTGTCCTGCTCAAGTCCTCCCTCCACCAGGAGGTCCACCAAGGCCACGTTCGCCAGCGCTGTGAAGGCCGAGTTGACGCTAACCTTTTCAGCACGACAACGTTTCACAAACTGGGCGGTGGTGGCGACGTCCACATCCCTTGCCAACAGCAAGCTCCTTCCTGCCTTGTCTCCCACACCTTTAAATGTCGACCTTATCAGAGAATGCGTTTCGTGGCGAGCATTGTAATCGTCCAGTGCCCCCTGCTTGACTTGAGGGTCAGCCTCCATCCTGGCTATTCGCTCTTCCAGGAGCCTCTTCGTCCTCTCGTCGGACACGAGGGTGCCCAGTTGTTCCTCATCCTTGACAGCTTTTCCGGCCAAGACGTCATTGAGGAGTTGCACGAAGAAGCCGCAGATCCTCATGTTGGTGTTGCCATCGCTAATGCCATGATGGAAACCGAAGAACAGCGTGTATGCGTGAGGGAAGCGAGACTTGTCCAACCCCAGCTCGTCATCTGGGAGGGAGGAATGGGGTCTTGGCCAGAGCCGAGCACACCACAAAGGTCCCGTTCGAGTGTTATATTGGTGATGCTGTAGTTTGTCATGCATGTCCCTCATCGTGGTATCTGGAACTACCTGTTAGATATGATAATCGTACACACAGAATGTATACTGGTTGTCACAGTTCGAAATTCTACACTGATTCAATTCATTACAAGTTTAAGAGGCTCTTCTCGCAACCAACAATTTGCAGTTACAAGTCAGAATAATAAGCCTATCATTAAATATATGCTTGTAAGTCATTCAGGTAAGGTAAATTGAAAAACAAACAAATAAAGAGTAACATTCACACTGATAATAACAATCTACTTCAAATATGCTTTAACATGCAAGAAAAAGATCAGATATATTTTCTGATAATCACCTTTACTATTAACCAAATACTGGTGTTATAAGCAACGTTATATGGATTTATGATTTACCTGATAATCAATACGACTTATGCAATGAGAATGAATAGATGAAGACCGATACATACATTTCAGTAGGCCAATGCAGGCTTATCTAGTCCAGACATACGGACGGTTTGTTAAAATTGGCCCGACCCAATGAATTTCCATAAATACAGACATACATATACGCAGAAATAAATGAACATCTGTCTATATATCTGATAGATATACCTTTATCATTTTGCCCGGTTGATATGCATGTCTAGACTGATAAATATGAATTTATTTAATTATTTATGCATGTCGAAGTATACGAATATTCTTTGGGTCGGGCCTCGCACAATTCTAACAAACCGGCCGATACAGGCAGTTCAAGTAACAATATCCTTCTAACCCTTGGCCACGAACCTCGAAGTCAACGATCTCCTTTGCCATCTCCCTGAGCCACGTGTCGCCGTCTCTCCGCCCATAACACGTGCGCAAGGGAGGAACCTTTCTGGAATTGGGTACGAGTCAGAATTCACGACCGAGTCACATGAATAAATATCATCTACACCTATATCTACACGGGCTGTATATATTCCGAAACTGTTGTCTCACTTCCCTCAATAAATCTAGTTTGTGCCTTGTGTTTTTTCTGCCATATATGTATGTGTTCCGTATGCGAGGTCGCCTCCCTGACCTCAGCCAAGAGGTCCCTCACCAATGGATGGGTCTGGCACAGGGATTCCAACACCACAAGCGTCCTAACCAACTGCTGGAGGGTCTGCGTGATACAGTTGCTCAAAATACTCGTTCACGAACCGCACCATGATCTGAGATGATCTGTCCATCCACTGAGTGAACTGCAGTGTGTGTGCACATACAATACATACACATACACATACACATGCACACACACACACACACACTCACTATATATATATATATATTATATATATATATATATATATATATATATATATATGTATGTATGTATGTATGTATGTATGTATGTATATACATATGTGGATGGGTGCTTCATGCTCAGGGTGATGTGAAGCCATTGTACCCTTTTGTCAAATACTAAACCGGTCTCTAGAATACAGCCTCGAAACACATTGCACTGGACACATCAACTGACGCCCAAGACGGGTTTAAAAGGACTTTGAGAACGGACTTTACCTGAAGAGATGCGAAAGAGCCCGGGTCACGCCTTCCTCGGCCAGGGGCTCCCGGGCGGCGAGGGTCAGCTGGTAACAGAGGTTGAAAGAGTTAAAGTACCCTGTTGTTTCCCACAGCCACTCGCCTTCGCCTTCCATCTCGTTCTGTTGAGTGCGAGTGTCACTTCAAGACGATACTAGACACCCACCGTTGCGATAACCGATTTAAAACGCCCTGGCAATAATCTACAGATAACAAAGCGTATCATGAACTTTTGTTCAAGAAATTATCAGTATATATGCCCCCCAAAATATTTTTAATCAACAGACGATGCTTTTATAAGTCTGGAAGAACTGTTCACACTTACCACGCATAGGCAGCCCCGACGGTCTAAGCTAAGGAATCGCTTTAACGAGGTCGAGCAGGAAGATGACCTTGAGGGCGACGAGCGAGATACTGGAGTTAATGATTTCACGCGAGTTTTCTTGAGTGTCATCCTCGACGCTTACTTGAGCAATGCCATGTTATGACATTCTTAGCAACTATAATTTTCCGTTTTAGAAAGAAAATTAAAATATGAAAGATGTGAAAATACAAAAGAGAAAAAAAAAAAACATGAGTAGGAACAAAATTTATTACTGTAAATCATAAAACTGACATCTAGATTACAAGATTCATTCTGCTCTTGACTTCGTGATCCCCGGGAGGAGATAATGGGGCGCAGAGGCACGGCCGGCTTATGGGTTTTGGGAAGCCCTTAGGAATGAGGGAGGCGAGGGTTGATGACCTTGAACCTCTGGTAAAGGTTCGCCTCCGGGAAACGAGCTGCCAACTCTTTCAGGCGACGGGTGGAGGGGAGCAGCAATGCGTTCCTCGTGTCGCTGGTCAGGGAGGCATGGTTGGAGGCGTCATCCAACAGGTCCTGGGCCTTCTGCAGGTAGGAAGCACGGTCGAGGACTACCACCGAGTTGCCTTTGTCAGAAGGCAAAGTGGTGACATCCTCCCTGCGCAGGCTGGGAAGGGCCTCACGGTAACGCCTGGGGATGGAAGGGTTGGGGTGAAGGAGGGACTCGAGGGCTGGAAGGAAGGACCCACGAAGGAGGGAGACATCAGGCAAGGAGTTCCTATGGGAAATGAAACGGTCGAAGGAAGAAATAATGTCAATACAGTAAGGGGGAGAGGGCGGAGAGCAAAAAGACCGAAGTCAAGTTGTTGTTGGTGAAGGGTCAAGGACAGGGAGGATAAGTTGGTGACAGCGGCGGTAAGGGAGAAGCGAGACCAGGGACCAGGTTGGAGAGTTTCTGGGTGAGGGAGCGGACATGGGTGCTGGAGAGGAACCGGGAAGAATCGTGGGCCACGTCGGCTAAGAGCTGGAAGACGTGGCCGGGGAGTCGTTCCTTCAGGACGTCAGAACGAACCCTCAAGCGATAGTAGGCACGCTCGACGTCCCTCTTACCAGCGCGGATCCGTTCAAGGAGGAGAGAACGAGCATAATCAGGAAAAGGAGACCCTTCATCAGAGTGCTTCAGGAGATTGGAGATCGAGGAAGGGAGCACCTGGTCCTCGAGGCAGTCTCGGAGGAAACGAAGTTGATTCTTCCGTCAAGCCATGGCGATGACGGAGACCTCAAAAGCACGCAAGGCAAGAACCAAGTCGGGGAAGGAGGCAAACAGGAACGAGAGATTTCTTTTAACCGTGGGCTTCATGATGAATGGAAAATCATACATACATACACATATATAATTTATATATGTGTGTGTGTATATATATACATATAAAATTACATATATATACACATAAATACATACACATCTATAATTTATATATATACATATATATAATCTATATAAATACATACATATGTAATTTATATATATAGATACCCACATATAACTTACATATATACAGAAATATATAACTCATATATCCATACCACTGATGTTAGAGTTGTTAAAGCCGAACGTAAATTTCATTTGAGGGTAATTGTTCAGCAGCAGCGTTCTTAACTGTTTTCTCACATCAAATTTTAATCCTCCCATAAATGACAGTTTCACATAACTATGATCCCTTTTTGCAGTTGATGCAGGAGGAGGAATTGAGAATTTGTTATACAGAAAAGTCTTAGTTATTCTATCAAATAAATGCAGTGAGTACCCATTGCTTACAAAGAAGTTATATAGAAAGGGCATTTAATTGTGGAAAGAGGACCAACTACTGTACAGATTATAGGCTCCAGTATTGAGTGTTTTTTAGCAAATAAACATGAAATTATTTACGACTGTCTTAGTCTACCTCTTCAACGCCTGAGTGGCAAAACCATAACGGTAATATATATATATATATATATATATATATATATATAATATATATATAATATCATACATATATTCACGTACAATTACTATCATTGCGATCTACATCCCTTTGAATAACCGAAGATAAAATTGTACGAAAAACATCTCAAAATCTAAAATAGAAAATTAATCGAAAATGCCGTTTAAAATAAAGTTAGGTAAACATCAAAGTAATCAGGCAACCGCGTATTCAAGGAATAACCGCCATCAGTTCTGTGAGAGTAATAAATCCAAAATAATCCTATATATTACACTAAATCTAGTTTTGAGTCGCATACTTGTGAAATTCATAATTAACATCTAAAAAGATTTCTTTAAGATTAAATTTTACAATAGAGTTGAAGATACCACTCTATTTTTTCATATATAAATTCATATTACTGATCTCAAGTGGTCAAAGAGCCTATCGCAGAACTTCTCTGCCATCTGCGAGGTGACGGATGCGGTGTTGTAGCTGAGGACGTGGATGAAGCGACCGCGGAAGGTGTGGCAAAGGTGGCTGCAAGTGGAGGGAATGCCGTCCAAGTTCACAGATCTCAGGACATGGACCGCCTGCACATGCTCGCCACCTTCCGTCACCAACTTGGTCACGTCTCCCATGTTGGTTATGCCAAATTCGCATGAGAAGATGGTTTCCATTACTGTTTTCTCTGACATAAAGTGCCTCACTGCCTCATCTTGTAGCGCTGTCCCGGCTTCTATTTTCCGCTTCATATCCGCATGCAACAACCGGGCGTAGTCCCAGAATTTCCCACCAGTTTCGCGGGGCGTTGGGACAATCACTGCCAGTTGAGGCAGAATGTGGCACCCGAGATAATCGGACGCGTCGCCTTCCAGTACGGCGAGCATTCAAGATGTGGTCCCGCGAATGCTGTACGTGTCCTGCTCAAGTCCTCCCTCCACCAGGAGGTCCACCAAGGCCACGTTCGCCAGCGCTGTGAAGGCCGAGTTGACGCTAACCTTTTCAGCACGACAACGTTTCACAAACTGGGCGGTGGTGGCGACGTCCACATCCCTTGCCAACAGCAAGCTCCTTCCTGCCTTGTCTCCCACACCTTGAAATGTCGACCCTATCAGAGAATGCGTTTCGTGGCGAGCATTGTAATCGTCCAGTGCCCCCTGCTTGACTTGAGGGTCAGCCTCCATCTTGGCTATTCGCTCTTCCAAGAGCCTCTTCGTCCTCTCGTCGGACACGAGGATGCCCAGTTGTTCCTCATCCTTGACAGCTTTTCCGGCCAAGACGTCATTGAGGAGTTGCACGAAGAAGCCGCATATCCTCATGTTGGTGTTGCCATCGCTAATGCCATGATGGAAACCGAAGAACAGCGTGTATGCGTGAGGGAAGCGAGACTTGTCCAACCCCAGCTCGTCATCTGGGAGGGAGGAAAGGGGTCTTGGCCAGAGCCGAGCACACCACAAAGGCCCCGTCCAGGTGTTGTATTGGCGATGCTGTAGTTTGTCATGCATGTCCCTCATCGTGGTATCTGGAACTATCTGTGGAAAATAATAATCATTAAGATAATGATTTAATTTCACACTTCAAAAACCTAGACTGGCTCATGGCATTACACATTGAAATAAGATTCTTGATAATTCTCACGACCAACAATTTAAAGACACAAAGCTGAACAAGAGGACTTTCTTAAACGCGTAACAATAGTGTACCATTTACAGAGACAATAAATATCTAACAGCAAGGACTTTTTCCATCCAAGACATTGTCTGCGATATATTCTCACAATATAACATTTTCTTAAACCTAGCGCTAATGTTACAAGCAACATGCTAATCTAGATTCGATTTACTTAATAAGACAGTATATAGGGAAGACCTTGCAGCATAAACATCTCAACAGACCAATGTAGGACGAGGCATAAGTGCTGAAATCCTACCTACTAGATGGAACTTTCGGTCCATTGGCACATACCTCGAAGTCAACGATCTCCTTTGCCATCTCCCTGAGCCACGTGTCGCCGTCTCTCCGCCCATAACACGTGCGCAAGGGAGGAACCTTTCTGGAATTGGCCGCAGGGATTCAGTCGGCAAGTTGGGGATTATCCTGTCTCCTTAACTTTTTTATTTATTTATTATTCATTGATCTTTCGCGGCCATCTGTTGAGTTCTATAAACATGTATGGAATTCTGTGTATTCCTCATCCACCAACGCCTTAAACGCACAATAAAACAAAGACAGAACTGACATCTTTTAATACAACGCGTCATGCAATAATGCATTAATTCGCGTTATATTTTCACTCACTCATTGCTTTTTTGGTCTGTAAGCTTAAAGGCAGAACAAGTGGAACAAAATCTTCATATTCATATTACATTACATATATAAAGGAGAGGGAGGGGGAGGGATTGGGAGAGGGAGGAGGAGGAAGGGTGAGGGAAGAGAGGGGGAGGGAGGGGATGGGAGGTAGGTGGGAGTGGATGGGTAAGGGTTATTGTAGAATGGTTGGGGAGGTATGATTAGATGTAGATGATTTGGGTAGCACGGGAGGATGGTGGTGTTAGATATGGTGTTATGTTTGGAGATTGGGAGTATTTTTTGTTTGGGAGTATATTTTGGAGAGAGAGATGAAGAGATTGAGAAGAGGAGAGATGAGGAGATGTAGAGGAGAGAGATGAGGAAGAGGAGAGAGGGAGTATGGTTGATGATGGGAGTAGGTTGGATTTTGTTTGTAGTTTTTTGTTTTTTTTTTTTTTTTTTTTTTTTTTTTTTGTTTGAAGTAGGTGTTATTGTGTATTTTATGTTGTTTTTTTTTTGGTGATGTGTGAGGGTTATTTTGAGGGAGAGTGGTAGGTGTGTTTTATTTTTTTTTTTGTTTGTTTTTATGGGTTTATGTTATGGTGTGATTTGAGGCAGGGGTTGAGGTGAGTAGGAGAGTAGGTGAGAGTGTGAGAGTGAGTTATGTGGTGAAGGTGTTAGAGGGAGGGATGGGGTAGATCGGGTTTGAGGAGTGAGGGTAGTAGGGGTATGAGGAGAGAGAGATGAGAGTAGAGAGGAGTAGAGAGAGAGAGAGAGAGAGAGACGTGGAGAAGTGTGTATGAGGGTAGAGGTTGAGAATGGGATGAGGGAGATGGGAGATGTGGGAGATGGAGGGATGAGGGAAAGGGGGAGAGGAGAGAGAGAGGAGGAGAGAGAGATGAGAAGTAGAGGAGATGAGAAGAGAGTATTGATTACAGAGGAGAGGAGAGGGAGATGGGAGATAGGGAGAGGGAGAAGGAGTAGGGAGAGGGTAGTATTGGAGTGAGGGAGAGGGAAGGGAGATGGGAGATGGGCAGGAGGTAGGAGAGAGATGAGAGATGTTAGAGAGAGAGAAGGCGAGAGAGAGATTGATTTTGAGAGAGAGGAGTAGGAAGAGAGAGAGAGGTAGAGAGGGAGTATTTTTGGATGAGGGATAGTGGAGTGGGGAGGGAGAGGGAAGGAGGGGGATGGAGAGGAAGTGAGGGGTGGGATGGGATAGGGAAGGAGGGATGGGAGAGTGGAAGGAGGGGGAGGGAGAGGGAAGGAGGGGAGGGAGAGGTGAAGGAGGGGAGGAAGAGGAAGTTTGAGGGGGATGGAGAGGAAGGTAGGGGGTAGTGATGTTTGGTTGAGTAGGTGAAGGGAGAGGTAAGATAAGTGAGATATGAGGTGTGTTTGTTGGTTTTTGGTCTGTCTTGGTTGGTTTTTTATGTGTTTATTTTAATACGGTTTTTTGTTGGGAGAGAAGAGTGAAACCAGATATTAGTGACGTGTAGGTAAGTTAAGACAAGGCGTTTGTGTGGAGTGAAGTGAATGGCGTGACAAGTGAGGAGGAGCAGAGTTGAAAAGCGTTTTTGTTTGTAATCTGATTTTTCGATGAGGTTATTTGTAGTCAATTTATTAAGGAAGAGTGACGTACGTGTATAGGCAGAAAGCCTGTGTGTTCTGTGCATGTGTGGGTGATAACAACAAGTGGTGTGGGCAGGCTCTCGGATATGTGCGAGGTGGATGACCGTTGCGGTTTGGTGTAGGTGAGGTTAGAGAGACAGGAGAACGAAAAGAACGGAGATCGCATTTTAACTTGAGGACAAGAGAGGGACAAGGAAAGACACAGTACAGAGAACTTGAGAATGAGAGCATAGTAGCGAGCTAAGACTGAGGAAGAGACAGCCATGTAGATGAGCAGAGCTGAGAAGAGAACGAGACAGACAGCACTGAGAAGAGACAGAGCAGAGCCAGAGACTGAGTAATGAGACGAGACTAGAGGACCGGACTGGAGAAAAGAGAAGGAGACAGACAGAGACTGAGAAAGAGACACAGACAGAGCCAGAGACTGAGAAGAGCTTAGAGAAGATCAAGAAAAAAAAAGAGACAAATTTCCCATATCGGTAATATCTCTATATTACGTCCGCCGCTTCGGATATCTGACGATTTTGGTATCGTTGGATTCCTCTCACTGCTATACAATGCAAATATGTGTAGGTTTTATTGCGCGAATCTTAGCGACAATCTTGGCCCCGATAGCAGGGCGACGACGATGTCTGAGCCGCGGAAGTAATATATAAAATTATCCTAATAATATACCCCACAGTGAAAATAACATATTCATCATGGTGACCTTCCATTGCAGGGGGCTGCTTGCCCCCAACCCTACCCCGCGAGGAAACCAAGACTTCCCACCAGGGTATTCACGGTAGGTTATAGGAGCGCACACGAACTAGATGGCGATGCCGGATAACTACAATAACCTAGGATTTTTAAGCTACTAACCTGATTGATAAGATGCCGTTCAATAGTGGGGAGGATGCTCCCTTGCCGCAGAAGGGGAAGGAGGCAGGGTGCGTTCGCCCGGCAGGAGGTCCTAGGCGCCGGAGGATACAGCTTTCTCCCCGGACGGGAGGAGTCCGTGCGGAAGCATATATCTAGCATTTTTTTGGCTAGTTGCAATTTCAAGCAGAAAATCCGTCTCCCGAATACGAAGAACCCTCCACACTCGGCATCGCGGCGGCCTATGACTGACTTCTGAAGCGACGGTTATTTCGTTAGGAATACGGTAACGAGGATGTCGTTTATTCCAGAGGACGGGAAAACTCGACCTTGAGGCCATCGGTGTAACATCGAAAGAGGCGCAAACCCGCCGACGAGGGCAGGCAACCCTGTTCATTTCTGATTATACTACAATCGTCTCTATATATAAATCTTAACAAGGGTTAATATGCTGATTCAGTGGAAATGCTGTGAGGTAATTGTAATATTACCCCCGCTGCTCAGACATCGATGATGATTGTGTAACGCTCTAGCCTGCGGGATGGTGGAGGGTTGTTTCCTCGGCGGGGGTTGGGGGAGGCAGCCCCACCCAACCCCCTGCAATGGAAAAGCTAGCATTTTTTTTTTTGTGTTTTGTTATGTATTATTGTTAGTAGTTATCTGCATTTGTTCCCTGGAATTTACGCCACTGCCCCTCTATGGGGGCCAAGTTTTTGATCGCTAACGGGGGGTTGTCGCGGGTTCCGCGCAATAAAAACCTACATTATTTGCATTGTATAGAGTGAGGAGGAATCAACGATACCAAATCGTCGATATGCGGGAAGGGCGGAGGTAATATAGAAATTTTTACCTCCAAATCAGTGTCCATAATCATCAGTGCCCAAAAAAAAAAGACGTTCTCACAAGACTTTACCTGAAGAGATGCGAAAGAGCCCGGGTCACGCATTCCTCGGCCAGGGGCTCCCGGGCGGCGAGGGTCAGCTGGTAACAGAGGTTGAAACAGTCAAAGAACCCTTTCGTTTTCCACAGCCACTTCGCTTCGTCTTCCATCTCGTATTAGTTGACTACGAGCGAGGAAGTACGCTTTTGAATATAACACGATTTAGCTTCTGTTAATACACA